CCGACCTAAGGCATGAGGGCAAACATAAAACCCCCCTTAAACGAGCCCCAGGCCTCCAGAGGCTGAAAATAAAGTTTTTGTAAGTAAATCCTGGCTATCATTCATTTAACGCCGCCTATTCAAGTCTCCGAAAATCAGGAAAATAATTCACGGAGTAGGCAAATTGCAATTCTGTGACAGAGAGCGGCAGCTCTCCTCTTAAGTGAGAGAAATACTCCACTAATGAGACACGAACAAACTGGGTGAAGGCACAAACTACGGCAAACCCAGTGCTTGGGCATTATAGTTCTCCAATTTTAATTTGTCTGTACATACATCCCACTGTCGTGTTTGCCAAACAGCCAGAACGGTTGCGCTGACGAAAGCTCGTAGCGAGTGAAGGGCAATAAAATATGTCCCAACTGTTACGCAATACCGGACTCACGAAGAGGTATTTCAAAGGGCTTTGTTTTCAATACCGGAAATGAAACGGGGCATTTGTTGTTGTCGTTCTGTTGTACAGTTTTACTGAACAGGAGCAGGGGAGTGGACAAAACGCGCGCGCAGAAGGCACCCCATAATTAGGAGCTTAAAATGTCGGGGTTGGTGCCCTACTTGTGCTTTATTACAGGGCAGAAGTTGACTTTTCATCAAGTCTAGAAATAAAAGGAACATTTAGTTGAACCGCTGTTTTGTTGCGTCCTCGGTAGAATCCTCTCTTGGCGACTGTAGAATCAGGTAAGTAGTTGTTCAATCTCACGAAAGTGTTAACCAAATCTCTGGATTTGACTTGCATTTCAAAAATATTCCTTAAGTAGAATGGTAGAATTAATCTGCGTATAGTATTGCCGGCAAAGGCTAGGCAGACTGGAATTGCCACATCTGGCTTATTAGCCGTCGTTAGCCAGTCATACCCGGCCTCAAGTGGTACACCGCCTGGGGCTCGAACTCGCTAAATTTTCAACCAGAGTCCAGTGCTCTAACCATTGAGCCACGAGCTCGTTTTCTTTCCGGTTTTAGTTCGGGAGATATTGACAATCGTTGATGAAGATCCATAGACCGCTAACGGAACTCATTTGTCCTGCTACGTTCGGCTGCTGTCAGGGCCGGAGAAATGAGAGCCAAGACAGAGAGGGCGAATTATTTCCCTTAGCGGTCGGTGAAAATCCATCAAGGAGTAGTAATTGGCGTGTAGCCTAATCCAAAGGTCTTTCAGCACACGAAACCGCCGGGCTTCTTTCAGGCCGTCTGGAAAAATGACACTCTATGCCAATAACTACTAAAATATTATGAATTTTTCTTATTGATTTTTGGTGTCCGTTCTAGCTCAATTATCTTTTGTGGAAAACGTGCACGAAAATAACCTTTCTTGTGTTCATTGGGTGGCAAATTATGTTTTTTAAACGATTTTTCACACAAAGAAGGCCTTAAACATTACATTTTTATTGCCAAGTGAAATACATGCAAGCAAGTATACTTTTGGGCATTTTTTCCTATCAAATACATGCGCATTAGTAAAACCCTCGAGAACTGGTAAACAGAATCCTACTTAGAGTCCCAGATCAGCACGCAAAAGCCCATCATTTTGTTATACAGGACCGGGTGTAATAATGAACGTAGAGTGTGCGCAGTGCAATAAACAGAAAATATAAATAAAAAATTGAAGTTCATAAAAGTAGGAAAAGAGGAATAAGGATTCAAATAATGTAATGTTTGCCAACAAAAAAGTGTGACACAACTAAAATGTGCAATTTTGTAAATAATAGGAAAACTTAATTAAAAAATAACAAAATAAAGCTAAAAGTAACTAAATGAAAAACTTAAACTGAAGTCAGCCAAAGTCAATTAACTAAAAATCATCAAAAACTGAAATAAAAATTGTAACTATAACAATGAACTGAAAAATAAATGGCAAGCTGAACTTAAATAAAAACAAGTTAAACAAATAAAATAAAATAAAATAACGTTAAGTTGTGATGCATATCAGGTTAGGGTGTGCGCGGCGCTACGCGCCGTTAACTACACTAATTTAATTCCAGAAGGGTAACTTGGATCTCAAGTAAGTTGAAAAAGATGACATCCTATTCGCCAATCTTTTTCCAGGAATATCAAGACACCCAACGACTCTTAAAGTATAAGTTAGTAAACCATATCCAAACTGGTCACACCGAATGAACGTTAAGTAAGTTTGAAATATAAATAAATCTCTATGTTTATTTATGGCGCGCTGCTTTGTCACGAAAACATTAGATTATTTAAACATTTTCTTTGGCCCAATGTAGGATTCCATCAATCGATGGTACTTTTCTGTTTAAGTAGTCATTTTTTGAGGAGTATGGCTTTTGCTGGCGGCCTAAAGCAATCTCTTTCAAAAGTCGGGAGTTTGGGATGAATAACCTATTTGGGATTAGGCTTAACTATTATTATTAACGTTACAACGCTTCTCTTTTTGTTGGGATCGAAAACACATTTCAGAATTTCGGTTGACAGTTCATTAGACAGCAAATATATTGTAAGTACATAAAAATGGGGTTTAACTACAAAAGCCCTAAAATATAACAACCCTTAAAAAATCTTTCGCAATCCATACATGGAAACCAGTGGCGTAAGATGCAGCAGGTATTGACATCAATAAGTAAACATTTACTGCAATTCTGTGCTGCTCTCCAGTTATTTTTCCAGGTTAACTTAAAAAAAGACTTGTTCTTTATTAAACGTATCCTTCGAATGCTCTCTTCAAACG